ATAGTTTTGCCTTTTCCCAGCAGGAACTCCTCGACACGGCCCGGAGTACCAATTATGATATCGGCGCCAGTTGACGTGAAGCGTTGCACGTCCTGGGCGGGTGATGATTTGGTCGAGGAAATGAGCAGCAAGGGGTCAGGGTATTCCGGATCCAGCGGATCCGAGTCCAGCTCTGCAGGCTCGGTCCTGGGCTGTGCGGAGAGGAACAGCGAGAAGACAGAGTGTATCTGCGTGGCTAGTTCTCTGAAATTACCTCAGGCGTGGAACGCTTGCCGGGAGAAGGGACACACCGTGTAGGACTGATAATTAACGCTCCGAGCTCATGCTTCCGCAGCTTCCTTTCGCGCCGTATGAGGCGTTCCAGGATGGGAATAACGAAGGCGAGTGTCTTTCCGGAGCCTGTGACCGCTTCTACGACCACATCCTTGTGTTGCATGAAGAGTGGGATCGTCGACGCTTGTACCGGGGTCATCTGGGTGTGCCCCATCGACTGAATCACATCCAGTCTGAGTGAAGGTGAGAAAAGCAAAAACCACGAAAAATGGTGCGAGTTACATCCATGGCGTGAGCGAGGTCGGGAGCGTAGACCAGGAGCCCCCGAACGCGTTCGTGGTCAGAGCCATATTTTTTCGGGAAGGTTGTTTGGATCACCCATCGATGGCTTGGGTACCAAACTCCTCCCAAATCCATAAGCAGTAATTAGAGAAAATCTCCTTGAATTTTGTCCAGATATCGCATCTTTCATCTCTAATAAAGCATACTGTCATGATAGAAACATATTCAGTGTGGTATTTGTCCATGCAAACTTTTTTCCTTCAGAGTTGCACAGGGAAGATAAGTGTACTGTAAAAGATATGGAGAGAGCATTTTCAATTACTTTTGCTTGTCTTGCACTCAAAGATTTTATTCTCCAGAATGTTTTTTGCTTGAGAGATGCAATCCAAAAAAGACATCCAAGACATGATGAACATATTGAAAGGTGTTTTCAATATGTTTTGGATATTCCATCCCCCAATATGAGAAAGGTATTGTTAATATTTTCTTCGTATTTTTGGGATGTTTTGCCATGGGTTATCTGCTTATTCTCCCTGTGCTGGAAGATGTGGCTGGCTGCCAGCTGGTGTAGATTAATCATCTATCCTCTTGAAACCTGGGCATGCTGCATCACTGGTCAGTACTGACTGAATCAGGTACATTTCTGTGGGAAACACTCACCACATACTGGGTCAGAGAGGGTGCACATTTTCATCTTCATCGTCAATCTATCCATGATCTTGTCCCGAAATCTTCCGGGAAGTATGTGGCCAAAAGAATCTCCCACATCATATGTTGTGGACAAGGTACTGTGGCCTGGGGAGTTGGAATCAGTTGAGGAGGATGAGAATGGACTAGTCTGGCAAAGTGACAATTTTTCCACAGTCGTCTCCTCACACGCCCGATGTTGTACCATGGTAAGGAGGGAGCAGATGAGAGAAAAAACAGTGGGGACCACTGGGGTTCTTTTATCGTGCCCGGAGTTTCGGCGGCAACCGGTGGCCCCTTCCAACTGACTTGCGCAAATCCGAGCCCTAATGGATGCTAAAAAAAGTTTATCGTGGCACTTGTACGCTTAGTGAGCCGGGTTTAAAAGACCCTTTGTTCTTGCGCCACCGTGGCCACGATGCGTGGAGTGGAAGCCCGGCAAAAGAACATTTACAGTGTCCAGAATACGCTATAGCAGATACATTGAAGAGGGTGGCAAACAAGTTGTGTAAACAAGTTGTGTAACGAGGATGTTGCGTTGGAAAACCGTGCAGGTCTCAGGTCGTTGGAAGTATACTGGGAATTGACTGGGAATGATTTTAGAGTCGGGCGGAACACAGAGTTGGGCATCGGGCGAAGTTGCCTCAGGCTAGACTCATTTCGTCCTTAGCGGCGGGTGGCGGCGGCGGCGTGCCGAACGAGTGTCAGAGCGGAGATTCAAGCTTGAATCTGGCACATATTCTCAAAAAAGGAAATTCGCGAGCCACGTTTGCCTTTCGACCGAAATCCGGCGGCGAACCAGTCGCTGGCTCGTCTCAAAGACGGGCCATTGTTATAAGTTGGCAAATGGGCAGAATAACGCGCCCTGCGCATCTACACAAGAAAATGACGCGTCAAATTGCACGTCTCAAGTTGCACGTCCAATAATATTACGACGGTCTGAGGGGGTCGTACATAGCAGTGGGATGCATAGAATGATAAGATGGGGAGTATGGTGCGGATGGAGCTGCAGGAGGGCGCGCTGCCCGACGTTCAGTGACTTGATAATATGTTTGGAGATTGTTAACGAGATCAGCGTTGCTTCTTGCCGTGTCCACATCGTATTTTGAGTAGAGGGCACGGAGCTCTCGACGATTGAGGCGCTCCAGTGCCTTGTTATCAGAGAGATCGAATGCATCCGCATCGAATGATTCGAACGTAGCAACGGAACGCGTGGATGTGGGGACGGAAGGAGCTGGAAGGGCGGGGGTCACACCGTATACTGGGCGCGGACAATAATGCGAAGGGGCCGCATCGCTCAGGACGGAACTAGGGAGTTCCGGGGCAGGAACTGCTACCGGGCGACTCAGTTGGAAGTTCTTCCACTGAGCGCTGTCCATCTCGAAATCGTGCCATAGCTTCGACTGGGGTCAGGAACTGCGCACTTGCATCACTGATAAAACACACCTCCGTCGCAAACTGCCCGGAGAGAGCGGCTACCAAAGCCTGTTTATTGTCAACTAACCTCGGTTTCAGATCGCAAACCCGCTCGATCTCGTCCCTGACGCGGACGGCGATGTTATATAAATAATGTCGAGCTTGATGGCTAAACCAACTTAAATGAGCATGAGGTAGATGAATGAGGCTACGACGAACTAGGCAACCGCGCGGTGAGAACACCGTGCCCCAATCACGAGCCTGAAGCCCGGCGGATAAAGCAACCTGTCCGCCTCCGTGCTGTTGTCGAAATCGTGCATCGTCTCCTTGCCGTAATCGACATGACGTTCCAGTATATCCTGTACGCGCGGTCAATCAAGATTAACGGGGTTCGAGGGCAAGCAAAGAGTGATACCTGATAGGTATCACGGTCGTAGAACCCCTTGCGCGTCGAGAGCGAGTACGAGCCAGTAGTACTGCATGACATAGGCCCTCGCGTCCAACAGGCCTGACAATGCATGCCCTCGCAGCCAACTGGACCCACGAGGACTGGGCGCTTCTGCAAGGTGGCCGTGAACGGCCCCGACCAGGTGGAAATCAGCATGCTGTCCGCGAACGCCTCGGTGCGCAGCCGTAGCGCATTTAATGCCGCCCCGTAAGAAAGCCCTGAATCGAATGAGTAAGTCACGATGCGACGGAGCCATGCACTTACTGTCCGCCTCCGGGAGGGTGTCCGAGGAGAGCAAGTTTGCGTCATCGTGTAGTTCAACGAGATATTCTATGAATACCAAGAACTGCTGGTCGAGCGAACGGCGCGCGTACCGCTCTGGGCCGAGGGCCTCTTCGACCGCTTGGACTACATCGGCCGTCTGGTCGGCATCGTCGATGAAGCTGCGGTCCGTTTGCTCCGACGCGTCCTCGCTGCCCATGCTTGAGTCATCCGTATCCATGTCTTCCTCTTCCGATAGGCCCACAAAAAACCTTTCCCTCTCTGGTTTCCTAGGAGCGCCAGGCTTCCTGGCATTCCTGAGTTTTTCAATTGCCTCCCTCTTGAGCTCTTTCTCCGTCGGTTTTGAGGGGATCGGCGGGGGCGACACTGCGAAAAGTGTGAACAGTGAATGGTACGAGGTAAGAGATATACACACACGCAAGGTCGTTGACGTCCGCAGAGTCTGCAACAGGAAGGTCGTCTGCTTCGGAGGACTGCTGTCTGCGACGAAACAACCTCTTTCGTGTAGGGATGGCACTTGTAAAACCATGATCTAACTCTCTTGCCTTGCCCCGCCGCGTCCTCCTTGGCGTTGGGGTCCTGGGATCATCATTGTCTTCGTCCCCAGCATCTTCAGGTGCCTCGGAATCGGACGCAACTGGATCCCGCCACCATCGACGAGGCGATACAATTGGAGCCCAGTCAGACTCGTCCTCGGATTCCTGGGACAAAGGGGGCGGCAACTGAGGCTCCGGTTTCACCAGATCCAATTCTCTTGCCTGGCCCCGCCGCGTCCTCCTCGGGGTTGGGGTCCTGGGGTCATCATTGTCTTCGTCCCCAGCATCTTCAAGAGCCTCGGAATCGGACGCAACTGGATTCCGCCCCCATCGACGAGGCGATACAATTGGGGCCCAGTCAGACTCGTCCTCGGATTCCTGGGGCAAAGGGGGCGGTGACTGAGGCTCCTGTTTCACCACGCTGCGTTCTCGTTTCACGGTGGTGCGCTGCTTCTGCTTCGGTGCAGCAGGGCGCTTCGCCACAATGATGCGCCCCACTGCGGGCTTAGGGGGGAGGTCATGGCCGTTCTCTGACTCCGGTTTAATGTGATTGCTACCCGGACCAGGATTCCACCGGCGAGCAAACGCGCCTGAGTCCTGACCTTTGGACTCCAGTTGATCGACTGGCTCCTTCTTCATGCCACGACGAGCCCGGGTATTCGCGAATGGGCCTGCATCCTGCTGTTTGCGTTTCCAAACTGGTCTTAGTATCACGACTTCGACCTTAAGACGACGCGCCCGAGTGTTTGCTACCGGGCCTTCATTGCGCTTGCGTTTGGGAGGCATGTGCTGCGAAGCAAACAGAGTCGATCAGATTCATTTGGGTCCGTCTCTTCCCACGACCTCCTCGGCGCTTCAATTTCCACCTAGGCTGCTGCCTGCTCCCCCCGTTGCTAGTGGAATATATTTAATCACGACTCTTGGCGCCGGGTTCTGTGCAAGTTTTTAGACATCGATGATCTTGGTCGTCAACGGCCGACAGTGGCCCCTGGCCTCCACTTCTCCGCATCTCGATACCTCGCGTTTGCGTCGCATCTGCGAATCTGAGCAGGGAGGGGAGAAGGGGCGTACGTCGCTCCCTCTTAGCTCAGTTGGTAGAGTCCGTCACTCGTATGTACGTTGATCGTTTAGAATTACTGTACTTATACATGACGAGATCAGTTGTTCAAATTGGCTAGCGGGAATGTTTTGCCTCCCTTATTTAAGGTTAAGGGACTCCACGTGGATTGCTGATTCTCATCGGTTAACCAAACACAAGTATTTTTCCTGTATAAAAGTGCGCAACACCACCACTTGCAATTTCCATATTTACTTGTCCTCCTCCAACCTGCAGCACCTACAACAAGACCCTCACCTTTGCGGGGACCTTGGAGCCCGCCTTCGCGCTGACTGTCATGCGTCGTCCACACTTAGTATCTGGTCCTTTGCAGACGAAAAGCAGAGGAGGGTGGAGAACCTGAATCCCAAGGCAAATGAGAAGTACATACAGCGCCATTATAGAAATCTTGAAGAATCCGGCGAAATTGACTCACAGAATCTAACACCTCGCGCAGATATGAACTAGTCCAACATAGTGAGATAGTAAATGATGCGGTACGAGTCAGCTTGCGGAAATAGTGACCGCCGAGCGGCGCACACAAGCCGTGGCCGCCACCTTCAGAAACATCTGTGCAACTGAGCGCGTACACCTGTTGCCTATGTCGTCAAAAAAATTACATCCTATAAGAACTTCAAGAAGAATCATATTGTAATACGGTCCATCCATCCGCCTACCTACCACCCCTCCTCGCCTTCCTTGTGGCCACGGAAATTGAACTCGACAAGGAGCGGCACGAGCACGTTCTTGGGCTCCTCGTAGTAGTCGATGAAGGACCACCCCCGAATGCGCGGTCCGCCCTTCTCGCCGTCCGCGCCGTCCTCACTAAGGCGCTCGAGCACCCACCGCCCCACGCGCGTGTTCACGCCCTCGACGCCGAGCCCCCAGCTCGGCCAGCCGAAGCCCTGCGCGACGGTTTGCGGCGCCGCGAGCGGGAAGCTCGACGCGGAGAAGTAGGTGATGTTGAGCACGCGGCCGAGGTCGGACACGGGGAGGAGCAGGTCCGTCGAGAGCTGGACCTTCTCCGGGATGGAAAGGAAGGACGGGATGTGGTACCAGTCGTTCGTGCGCACGGTCGTGTCGTTGCACATCCACGTGAAGCCCGCCCGCTCGCTGTCGGGCCAGTACGTCGGGTGGATCCCCATGCCGCCTTCCCAGTCCTCGCCGGTGCCGAAGCGGCTGAACATGACGACCTTGCCACGCACCTCCCCGACTGCGGAATGTGAGTAAAAGAAATGCTCAGAGCATTAACGTACGTTTGGGTATCCGCGATTCGAGGAACCAGATATCCCACCCGCCGCGGCTGATCGATATCTCGTTGTGCACGAGCTGCGCAAAGTTGTCCGAGCGCGCTTCTGGCTTGATGGACATGACGATGGTCTCCCGCGCGCCCTCAGGCGACGTGAGGTACTCGTGCACGGACACGAGGATGCCCTGAAACGGCTCCTTCTGCGGGTACGCGCCGTGGTACGCTATGAGGCGGCCGTCCACCTCCGTGAGGCGGATATCGAGCAGCCGGATTCCCGAGTGAAACTGCACAGAAAGCGGCGTGGAAATGGACTGGCACTGGGAGAACGGCCATCCGTAGAACGCCATGCTGCGGGGAATTTAAATTCGCGTGAATATGGGAGCGGGAGATGGAACGAACGTGTCGTGGGTGCCAGGAATGAGTAGCGAGGACAGAGGTGCATCGTCGGGCATCGCGGAAAGGAAGGAAGCCATGTCCCGCCGCGGGATGATAATGAGCTTACGGTGCTTCGGAGCGACCTGGAATTGTTCAGTGCCAAAATCTTGGTCTGTTGTTGGCATGACACACCTTACAGAGGTAGATGCGCCAAAGACAGTCCTCCGGGACAGAGACGGCCTTCCAAGAGGCACCAGCAGTTCCAGAGAAAGAGACGTGCACGGTTGCCCATTCAATGTGCTTCTCGCCCCCGAGGCTCAGCGTCGCCAAAGTTGACTTTGGGAAAGTTACGGTGGATGGCCGGGACGGTGAAGCCAGAACTTGAGACCCATTGGCATACGACAGAACCAGGGATTCGTCAGTCAGATTGAGGAGCGTTAGATGCATATCTACTTGCGCAGCCGGCAGCGACGAAAGACCCAGTAAGTATCAAGCAAAGGCAGCGGCGCAAAGGTATAGATCCTATAGCTGATCGCATCATCGGCTTCAAACGTTTCCAAAAACGTTCCATTTGCAACGTTCAGCAGCGCTCAGCGCTCGGGGCTTCCCGGAGACCAACCGGAGACGACGGAGACGTCGCGGAACTACATTGATATGTGTTGTGGCAAGAAAACGCCCCAGGACCGTCTAGACCGAGCCGATCAAAAACATCCTTCATTCCGAATTCGTACCACCTCGAGGCTCGAGAGACTTCGAATCGCATACCAATACCATTAAATCGATGTCTCAACCAGAACCAGAGCTGTCGGACAGCGCGACGAGTACATCCATGAAATCGCGTCAGGTTTTCGTCGAACCATTATTCGATCCGTCGTCGTACACCATCAAGGATGTTCGCGCGGTATTCACTGACATGATTCTCATGAGTAGGTGATGCTCAAAGCTCGTTTTAACGATCTAACCGATCGAACTTGAAGCCCATTATGTGCACAGTAATTTTCCTGACCTTCTCAACGATACCTTATCCCTCAGCAACATCCGGTTCGATCGCAGAGCGTCTGGGGAAACGGTGGGTGTTCTCGTCGATCTCGACGGGGTAGAGCATCCGTCCAATCCCCTCGGACATCCATCGACGCACGGAACCATCCCATTCACCGCGTATGACCTACTCGTGCAACGCAGAAAAAAGTCCGAAAGTTCATGGAACGACGAGCGCAGCTCCTTGCACACTGCGAAAGAGGTTGTGAACGCGGCCGCCCCATACGATCGATACTGCCACATCCTCGAGGCACTCTTCTATATCTTGCTCTGGTGTATTTCCGACGTGCCTAACCAGACACTGGGGTGGATGGAGCTCGGCCACGTTGCTCGGCACCAGTTACTCTGTCTGGTGAAGCACCCCAAGGAGCGGGAATCGTTCATGTGGGATGCCACGGATGCCTTTGCGCAAATTAGTGCCGAGTTCCAGCCGCTGATCGAAGTCTGGCTGATACCGCTCTGGATGCTGCTCTCGGAGGCGCAGTTTGCGTGTAGGCTCGTGCCAGACGAACAGAAATCCGAGAAGTTGGACGGCATATTGACTTGGGACAAGATCGCAGATATCATTCGAGGGGAAGGGGTCAACGACCTGCGAATCGCTGCGTTGATCCCCGTGCCCGGCGAGGACGACTCCGACTCCGACGCGTGGTAGGTTTTCTGTGAGTCGATACACCTCTTGTTTTGCTATAGATCATACAAAAAATATTCTCTGCTTTACCGACTCGGTTTCGCGAAAATGGTCTCGAAGGTCGTCCCCATGTAACTGTGGATATATTAGCTTTCGAACTTTAGAGACTTTCCAGATCACGAACCCTAGGAATGCCCTTCCCGGGTCGTTGAACGTGCTGAGGTACACATCGCGAATAAATTTCTAGTGAAGCACAAGGGTCGGAAAAGTGCGCTCACATATATCCACGGTCGTTGGGGATCCCTAGCTTGCTTTGGAGGAACTCAGAGAAAATAGCACTGTACTTCAGGTTCGCCTCGGGATTGAGGTTGTCCAGGCTAGTCTGCTTTTCATCCGCAAAAGTCCCGAATGCCATTTGTGGACGACGCACGACAGTCAGCGCAAAGGCGGGCTCCAAGGTCCCCGCAAAGGTGAGGGTCTTGTTGTAGGTGATGCTGACGGTGATATACGCCTCGGGCTTGCCCAACGCCTCGGCGGCGGCCTGGAATCCAAGTTGTGAATTCTGTGAATTTATCGACTCGGGATTGAAACGTACCTTGGAAAACTCCAGAGCGAATTCCGTATCGTTGGGGATCTGGGTAAAATGAGGACCGATACTTTGAAAGCGTCGCGAGACTTGCCTGAACGTTGACCATGAGCTCGAGGTAAGGCATTGCTGTTCTTTCGCTATACAGTCGGCGTAGTAGTAGAGTGGGAAGGACGGGGAGCCAACCAGGCAGCCTTATATATCTTTAGTCGGTTACACAGTGCGTGATAGGTTCCCGTGCATTCCCATGCATGAGTCATGCGCAACACACTGGAGCGAATGCTAGTCGGCAATTGGCATTATATTATTGTGAGTGCGTTCTAGACCCATTCCGAGACGGCGGCGCCCGCCGATAGCGGGGTCGTACAGAATAAATATGTCGAGGAGGAAGTTTTGAGACTGAAAGAACCCCAAACTCGACGGAGATTCGGGCCGATCAATTGATCCCGTCAAACTGCATTTTATAAGTTAAGTACTTATTTGAACCGTACTTAACTCGCAAGAGTGGAGGAGTACCTGGAAGAGCGCGTTTCTATTGGATTAAACATCCATTTCCCCATACACTTTCACACCATATAATAAGACCTCGGAAGGATCGGGGTTCGCAAGACTTGCTTGGATGTTTAAATTGACCGTGACTCGGAGCTCGAGGTAAGGCATTTGTTGATCTTTCCTTCCGGAAAGTAGGGGGTAAATCGGGGACAACGGGAACGAAAAATAGTCTTATACGTGTTTTCAATCATATGCGTCGTGCCTGGGCGATTGAGAACTGAAGCCAATAGATTGGTCTGATATTTTGCCAGGGTGAGACGGTAGACAAGAGAACCTGAAATTGTGGATTTTAATTAAACCGCCTGTCTCCGACAACCGATGAGCTCTCTGCCTATTTCAATTTGATATGATTTTTTGGGATTCTGGATTCTGACGCGTTCAAAACGCGTCCCAAGTCGTCACAAGTCACAAATCATGTGATCTATGCGTAACGCGTTTGTTCTCGCGCGGCGATGTCGCAAAACGAGGACGCGCCAGAAGAGGTGCAACTGCCCCCGGTAGGTGCACGGCTGAATTCCTTCAAGATCTAATCATCACCGCATCAGGTATTGAAGGCCTCGGTACACGACGTTCGGTACTTTGCCACCCTCCTTCGTGGTGTCAATTTTGTCAATGTGCGTCTCGTTTGGTGGACATCTAAGCAACAATGGCAACTCTGTC